ATATATATATAATTAAGTTTCAGTGCGATAAGTGTCTCCCGTGCGGTTGTGCGGGTGATTAATGTGCGTAAGTTTTGTACTCAATGTGAGTCTTGTGCTTATGGTGCGTGAGTGCTTAATGTGCGTGAGTTTTGTACTTAAGGTACGTGAGTCTTGTGCCTAAGGTGCGTGAGTTTTGTACTTACTGTGCGTGAGTGTGTACTTAATGTGAGTTGTTGTGTGAATTGTTGTTGAAACTTTAAAGTGCATGAGCTTTGTGCTTAATGTGCGTGAGTTTTGTGCTTAAGGTGCGTGAATCTTGTGCTTAAGGTGCGTGAGTTTTGTACTTAATGTGCGTGAGTGTGTACTTAACGTGAGTTGTTAAAACTAAAGGTGCGTGTGTTTTTGTGCTTAAAGTGCGTGAGTTTTGTGCTTAAAGGTGTGTAAGAGTTCTATCTTTTATTTTAACTCTTTTATTCATTCACAAGATAATTTAAATGTTTTTTTTTTAATCTTTTATTCATTCACAAAATAACTTAAATATTTTTTTAGTCTACTTTTTATAAATTATTTAATTAACAAATTAAATATTTTTTTAGTCTATTTTTTATGAGTCATTTAATTAATGTAATATAAACGTTTATATTATACATTGTGTTGGAATTTAATTTAAAAAGTAGGTAGTGAGTAAAGCATTTGTGGTAGGATACAATTCTCCCAATCTTCGGGATTATTTGCATGATGCGTGATAGGTTTTGCCACTTTTTTAGGCTTTTTAGTACGACATGTTTGTCGGCATGTTCATCATCCTATCTTTGCAGCAGCTTTGCTCGTGCTGCTTTTTACCTAATCTAGGTTGACAAAATCTAGGATTTTCCTACGTACAAATTTAATTCTTTTATTTTATTTATTCTAGAAATGAGAAGAAAAAAAGTTGAATTTTGATTCTTCAAATATAATATCATACTTGATTTAAAATCGTTCAATCATTATGCTCCCAAAACTCTTGTAAGACTATAAATTTTAATCATTTCTATTTGTTTTTAAGGTTAACATCATGACACCACGTCTAGTCCTCAAAAGGTCGTAGTTAAAGTCATAAAGAGAGACGCGATTTCAGGACAAGAGGCTATGGTGCTTCTTTTGGATTGTAAAGAAATTATATCTCAATTGAGCTGAGGATCTAATTCCTCATGTCTTTAGAGAAGGGAATAAATGCGAGGATTTACTTGCTTGGCCAACTCAAGTCAACCGACCAGTTAGGCATGGTTGTTGATCATCTGCACAACGATGTGTGGAATTTAATTGATTTTATTTGACGTTGTTGGAGACTAGCTCCTCGCAGATGGTTAGAATGTAATTTGAATTGAGATCATTTTTAGGTCTCTCGTATATTCACACAAAATAAAAAATGGCTAAAAGATTGCGATCAAATTTTTATGTAGATAACAACTTTTAACAATTTTTCTATTTTTCAAAAAAAAAAAAACAATTTTTCTATTTAAAAAAGATTGCAATTGCACAATTTTAAAGTCAATAATTAATTATTTTTAAAAAAAATTAAGATCAGAATAAAACTTTTATAATTTATATAAACAGTTGTATCTCATCATCTCCTAAAATAGCGGAAAATGACCATTCAAAGTTGAAGCACGGACCAAAAATCTTGCAACCCTATAATGGATAATGTTATTTAATTTAAGAGAAAATTACACTTTTGGTCCTATGACTATAGAGTGGGTGGTAATTTCAGTTCGTGACTTTTAAAACTAACAAATTTAGTCATTTTAGTATGCTTTTTTCACACATTTAGTCCTTCCGGCCAATTTGCCGGTAGATTTTGGCCGAAAAACACATTCATTTGTTTATTATTATTTTTTTTTGGGGAGGGGGTAAAATGGTCTTCTTCGTCCTCCAAGGCCTACACTCTTCTTCGTCCTCCTGGGCCTCTCCTGGGGAAGTGCAGAATGAAAACTAACACAAAGATAGAACAAAATCGGAAGAATAAAATGGGAAGAAATGTTATAAATTAAAATCCATTTAGCGACAAAAAGAAAAAGGCGAAGCTATATGAAATCAGCACACGCAAGAGCCGCAGTAGAGATGATCCTTCTTGTGGTTGGCGGAAAGACGAAGAATTTGGGAGCTTGTATGCTGTACTTCCATGGCTACCGCCGCGAAACCTCAACTTCCAACATTAATAAAACGGATCCTCGACACAATTTCACTGAAAACACTGAAAATTCTCCCGAAACTCAGCGAAATTCGCCTCGTGCGACGAGAATCCCCGACCTGAGAAAAAAGGGGATAAACGGTGCTCCATCTTCATCGTTGCTGGAACCAATCACATAAGCATCTCCATATCGTTTTCCCCATCACCAATCGCCATTATCTATATAACCATGATAAAAAAAAAAAATGAGCTTCAAATAAATCAATTTATCTTTGCACCACTCAACAAATTCATTTTTGAATACTTCCATTCTTGAGCATTTCTTTTTCTTTATTTTTAAAATTATTTTTAATCAGATGCTATAACAGAAGCATATTCCCAGGTTGCTTCCATCCAATATGGTCTAAATGTAGAAGCCACTCCTTCAGCAGTGTCCAAGAATATCATCTTCTGCAGATACGGATAAATTTTGTAGCGTGAACAACCAAAATAGCAATGTTTATGGCGGACATCTTGTTTAGCTTCTTAGCATTTCTAGGTAGTTTCATCACCAGGAGAAACCACTGATAATCCCCTTTTTTACTCAATCAAAAGTGACCATTTTACCCCCCAAAAAAATTAATAAACAAATGAATTTGTTTTTCCGGCGAAAATCTACCGACAAATTAGCCGGAAGGACTTAATGTGTAAAAAAAAAGCACACTAAAAGGACTAAATCTGTTACTTTTAAAAGTCACGAACTGAAATTATCACTCCCCCTATAGTCATAGGACCAAAAGTGTAATTTTCTCTTTAATTTAATTTTATATATTAAATATAACATTTTGATTATTTCATGGGAGGTAATAAGCTAGGTACCACACTTTCACTGTTTCACTTTATGATATAATAACCAATAAATTGAGTGAAACATTTGTTTTCAGTTTTATATCATTCAGCTTTTTTTTTTTTTTTTTTTTTTTTTTTTTTTTTTTTTTTTTTTTTTGGAATGAAACCTTACTGCATTAGATCAGAATGAATACAGTGAATAAGAAAGGGAGGAGGGACATCAAGCCATCCCCGCAACCTGACATCGAAACGACTTCCCGACCAACAGTGTGGACAGCACGATTCGCAGATCGCTTAGCAAAATAGAAGTCAACTCCATCAATAGTGGAAGCCACTTCTTTAACATCAGCAATAATAAAACCAAAAGAAGAATTAAAATCGTCCGAACGTAAAGCAAAATAAACAAGCTGCGAATCTGTTTCAATAATCACATCTCCCATACCCGTTCCCTTTAACCAATTAAGAGCCTCACGGATGCACACAGCCCCAGCTACTTCCACCGTATATCTTTCCGGAATGGATACCCCTTTAGCCGCTAAGAACCGGCCATCATGATCACGCAAAATCCACCCCATTCCCATCAAATTATTCACTTCATCAAACGCAACATCCGTGTTCAATTTCAAACGCCCCAGGGGCGGTGCTAACCAGTGAGCACCATCAGTAATCGGGTCCTGAGCATCATGTTCTCACTCGTTCGCTCCCATCCAGTTTTTCCAGAACATAGTCGCAGAGTTTACCACCGCCGTAGATTCAAAAGGCTTCCCCTTCCACACCCGCTCATTTCTGCTGCCCCATAAACCCCAACAAATCATCACAAAAATGCATTCAGTTTTCTTTTCATATAAAAAAATATATTAGATGTGTAAAATCCTGTTTATTGCACAAATAGTCCAACGTCAATGAGTATTCTTAAATTAATATTTCAAAATTTATCAAAGTATTATTCAACATCATGGTGTATATCAATGCAAGATTATCAAATTTTTCTTAAAAGTAAATATTTCAAGAATGCATAACTATGACCTGTGGCATAATTATTCATAAAATTAATTAACTGGTGCAATAACCGTTTTAGAGAGAAACACCCTCACTGGATAGAATCCAAACATAATTTTTGCAATACAAAACCGTATTAATTGGCGTGATCCATGCTTCTTCTTGTTGCCACTTCCGCCATAAATGAATTCTTGATTTAATCTAGTCTCATGTTGTTCTTCACTGCAATTTTAGTGCATTAGCGCAGTGCACCTTCAAAAACATAACTAAATCCTCATTTCCCAAAAATACAATGATAATAGGCATAATTTCTCATCTGTGTTGAATATATACTGTAAATTAAGTGTATCGTTTCGTCAATGCTCAATGCGTGATTCTAATTAATTGACCAAAGTTCATGTTCAATTTTATATTGTATTTTTTTAATACACTCTAACATACCCATAGTATATGTTTAACAGTTTAAGTAGGAAAAATAATAAAAAATAATAAAATCAAAATAATATGAATTATTCATTTCAACAAACAATTACACCAACATTTTTTTAGTTATGTTTAGGAACCTAACTTTATTGGTTCTTATTAAGTTTGTAGAGGAGACCCTATTTTAGTTGTAATCAACCAAATAAAAATATTTTTAGTTGTATGCATTATGCAATAACGTTGTTGAGAGAGTTATTCAATGATAGAATTTAACTGAAATTTGATTGAATTAGTTTTATCCCGGACGTAGATATTATATATACAAACATTTCAATATATTTTTTTGAATGCTACTGACTTTATTATAATGTAGTATCTGTCTATAACTACTTTCTCAATCTACTGAAGCACACAACCTCCCCTATGGAAATCCAATCCAGGTGCCATTAGACATTTCAGTATTTAAAAAATATATTTTTAAATAAAAAAATTCCACCCTATAGCCGCCTAGTAAATAAAGACATGCATTTTGTATTCATGGATGAAAGGATGCAGAATATCCGCATTGAAAACTTTGTGATAGCTTTTGGACTTGGGTAGGAGCTAACTCTCTTTTTGTCGCTACATTTTGACTGTGCATTAGATTTAATAGATTCTCTCCAAAAGTTTATAAATGCTTATACAACAAAATATTGACCTCTCTTCGAGCAAACCATTGGTTTTTATGTTTTATTTTTTATTTTTTATTTTCATTGGTTTTTATGTTTTATTTTTTATTTTTTATTTTCATTGGTTTTTATGTTTTATTTTTTATTTTTTATTTTTTAATTTTATTTAGTTTTTGTCAATAAAAGTTGGAGCCAGCCCGGAGAGAGAAACGAAATTGAAAATATAGGATGGTCTCCAATTTGTGCCAAACATGATTTCTCTCTCTCTCTCTCTCTCTCTCTCTCTATATATATATATATATATATATATATATATATATATATATATGAGTAAATACTCAAAATAGTCCCTCGACTATAGCTAAATTCACAAATTGGTCATCGACTTCCAATTTCAACCAATTAAGTCTTTAATTTGCAATTTTAACACAATTTGGTCCTCCATCTATTTGACCATTTGTTAACCGCGATCTTTGAAGATATATATGTAGTTTCACGTGCAAAGCTCAAGAGAACACTCTTGGAGGTGACATCGTTGTTTCGGAGGGAGAAGTGCTTATCCGCTTGTTGCTTGGGGATCACGAGCCGGTTCAGCTTAGAGAACGCTCTTGAAGGTGACATTGCCGTTTCGGAGGGGGGAAGTGCTTCTCCGCTTGCTGCTTGGGGATCCCGAGCCTGTTCAGCTTGCCTACATCGCTTGGAGTCACGACTTTCTCGAAGAGCCACTCCAGGGACTTCGGCAATCTATCTATCAAAAGCTAAAATCTCTCCGGCATGGGATGCAGCGCCAGCAGTGGATTCAAATGTAACAGTGCGGTCTAGAAATGCAACCGGAACCATAAAAACCGACGATGGACCATGAAATTACATATATATCCTAAAAAGTGCAGTCAACAAGCGGTCAAATAGACAAAGGACCAAATTGTGTTAAAATTGCAAAGTTAAGGACTTAATTTGTTGAAATTAAAAGTCGAGTACCAATTTGTGAATTTAGCTATAGTCGGGGGACCATTTTAGGTATTTACTCTCTCTCTCTCTCTCTCTATATATATATATATATATATATATATATATATATATATATATATATATATATATATATATATATGATGGACAATTTTAATTAAGTCCTCGCAAGTGCACGAGTCACTGTAGTAATAAGGTGCAAAAACAGGGTCGATCCCACAAGAAATTGTACGATGCAATTTAATTTAATAACTTAAAATTAATTAACTCAATAATTTAAAATACCAAAAACAATTGCCAATAATAAGAACGCAAAATAATTAAGATTGAAGCTAAACAAATAAATAAGTGAATCAAAATTCAAGAAAGTACCGCTATTAATTCTGTACCTTTAGTCTAATACTACCGATCATTAAAATATAAACCCTTAAAATTAAATAAAATAAAACTTAAAGCAAATATGATAAACCAAATAAAATAGAGCTTAGCATTTTTGGCACTCTACTTGAGCTCCACGTTGCATCACTCATTCAATGAACAATTTGGAAATTGAAAGCTTAAACACAAGAATTGCAAGGAAAACAAGAGAAACGCAGCAGACCATTACAACCTCCCCTCATAATATAATTCGCAATCTAAACACAAATGGGTTTAAAAGTTGTCATGAACTTGCCGTAATGGACTCTTCTACGCTGGAATTGACCTGATGCAAGAATTCACTGAAACAATGATTGCTGCGCCGATTGGAGCTACCGAACGGAACGAAGCCACCACCGAACACCAGAACGCCGCCTCCGGAATTAGTCCGGAGAAAATTGATGATCAGATTGGTAATTCTTGACCCTGTTTTATACTGTTTTGGCCAACCGTTTCTCCGAGCTCTCCCTGGTCAATCGAATATGCCAATTGAATAGGACCTTGCCGAACGATCGCCACCTCTTACTCTCAAGCGATCTCTCGTCCGTCCACTCGCTATTGGAGACTGGTTCGCACTAATCACCGGCCCTCTTTGTTCGCTTCTTACGGATAATAATAATAATAATAACAACAACACCAACAACAACAACAACAATAATAATAATAATAATAATAATAATAATCTTATTAAAGATCATATATAACTAATCTACATTTATTAAACTCCTACTGAACATGTACTACTAAAATTAATAATATTATCATTAAATTAGGATCAAAGAATTATTATTTTCAAAAAAAAAAAGGATCAAAGAATTATTGGACTAAAAGAATTCAAATAATAAACAAATTTAATAATTAAAACATTAAAACATAAAATTAAATAATATTACTAAAAACTAATTATAGCAATAATAAATAAAAATAGATAAGAATTAATCAATTATTTTCAACTTAACTATAAAAAGATTATTTAAAATAACAACAAAAATAATGTTTATCAATATATATATATATATATATATATATATATATATATATATATATATATATATTCAGTCTTAACAAAAAACTCAAATTAGTTGATAATCTTAAATTTTCGTTATCTCTCATCCACTTAAGTCAGAACTCTATGAAAATGGAAGAAAAATCTACCAATGAGAAATTGAGAATGCTCTTTAATTAGGTTTTGTTTGGCAAACCTAACTGAAAAGCTATAAGCTAGGAGCTGAAAGCTGAAAAGGAGCTGAAAGCTGAAAAGCTATAAGCTCAGAGTTGAAAACTGAAAAGCTGTTAAGCTAACTGTTATGATTGAAATTGTTTGGTAAAATTAGCTTTTTGATAAGCTGATAAATGTAAAAAGACTAAAAAGGACATCTTCATAAAATTTAAATTAGTTTGTTTACATATTAAAATTTAACATTTTGTCTTTTAAAAAAATTAACATTTTGAAATAAAACTATTAGTATAATCATGATCTAGCATCTTATAATGAAGTAGCAATATTGTTGCAAATCTCATAATAATAATAATAATAATAATAATAATAATAATAATAATAATAATATTTGCCGTGACAGTTACGCATAAAGGAGAAGAGAAAGGGGTTTTAATTGGGAAGGATAAATTATGTCATTTTTTAAAATAATAATGATAAAGATGGAAAAAAGTTAGGAAGCTAAGAGCTTATTTTGAAATGCTACCTTTAGGTAGCGTTCCAAAAAGGTAGTGTTCCAAAATAAGCTCTTATTTTAAGGTAATAGCTTATTTTGGGAATTTTACCAAATAGAGTTTATAGCTTATTAATAGCTTAAAATAAACTATAAGCTCTTAAATAAGCTCTGTCAAATAGAGTCTGAATAGGGAAAAAGAAAACATTATATATTATGCCATCAAGACGCAATAATAACATATATTTTAATCACTAAAAGCCTTGTTTTTTTAATATTTCATATAAATTAAATCATGATAATTTGTTTGTGGTGGAGTGGCAGTCGAGTTGATTTCTGAATCTTTATGATTTACTTCAAAATTTAAGATTGTTGGGGCATGATATTATGGGTCTGGATTTCTTAGTCCTTATGATTCAGCATTTTACGGGT